GAAGGGAGAGAGGCCTGTGGAGGAGGATGTAAGGAAGTTATGAGCATACTCTGCCCAGGGAAGTAAAGATGACCAGTCATCTTGGGAAGTTGAAGTGAAGGCTCTAAGAAAAGCAAGGAGCGTTTGATTAGTTCTCAACCTGCCCGCTGGCTTCAGGGTGATATCCTGACGTTAAGGACACATGAGTGCCCAGGGCTTGACAAAAAGCTTTCCAAAAGGCCGAGACAAACTGGGGACCTCTGTCTGAGACCACATCCCTGGGCAAACCATGTAGGCGAAATACGTGCTGGACGAACAGCATTGCCATCTCCTGGGCTGTGGGTAAGGCTGGGAGTGGAACAAAGTGGGCCGATTTGGAAAATCGATCGGAGACCACCATGATAACCGTATTGCCTTGACTACTGGGGAGATCCGTGATGAAATCCACCGCTATGTGAGACCAAGGGCGGTAGGGGACCGGGAGGGGGTACAAGAGACCCATCTTCCTGGCACGCGGGGTCCTGGTTCTGGCACAGGTAGGACATGCTCGAATATAGTCTGCTACATCCACTCTCATGGTAGGCCACCAGAAGTCCCTACTCAGGAGATCCAAAGTACGTTTGACCTCAGGGTGGCCTGCGAACCGTGAGTCATGACTCCACTGTAAAACCGCCGAACGTAAATTATCCACCACAAATAATTTGTCCACGGGGCAATGGAGCGGGATGGTAGTCTTGTCCAGGGACCGCCTGACTTGATCGAACTGCTGCCACGACACGGTTAGTTGAAATTATCGGTTCGGGTGCATAATCCAGATCCGGGGGGTCGTGAAGTCGGGAAAGTGCATCTGCCCTGCCATTCTTAGATCCAGGGGTATAGGTGATCACGAAGTTGAAGCGCGAGAAGAACAGAGACCGGTGAGCTTGACGTGAATAGAGGCGTTTAGCCGATTGGATGTAGGCCAAGTTCTTGTGGTCCGTGATTATAACAAAAGGATGCTGAGCACCCTCCAGCCAGTGCCTCCATTCCTCAAGGGCCAGCTTGATTGCAAGGAGCTCGCGATTACCCACGTCATAATTCACTTCGGCAGGAGAGAGCTTCTTGGAGAAGAAGGCACATGGATGCAGAACCTGTCCTTCTTCCTTACGCTGGGAGAGGACTGCACCAACCCCATAGGCAGAGGCATCCACTTCCACTACAAAGGGCCGGGAGGGATCCGGGTGACGGAGAAGAGGAGCAGTGCTGAAGAGGTGCTTTAAGCGTAGGAATGCCTTGTCTGCCTCCCGGTTCCACTTACCTCGGCCAGGTCGGTTGCGAGTTAGAGCAGAGATGGGCGCAACAACCGAACTAAAGTTCCTAATGAACCGCCTATAAAAATTAGCAAAACCCAGAAAACGCTGGATCTGCTTTAGATTGCGCGGGACTGGCCAGTCGTTAATGGCTGCTACATTAGATGAGTCCATTGCCACACCCAGAGGGGAGATACTGTAACCAAGGAAATGGATCTTGGAGACATGGAGCACGCACTTTTCCAGCCTCGCATAGAGCCTATTGTCAATCAATCCTTACAAGACCTCCTGTACATGGCGGACATGATCCTGAGGGTCGGTAGAAAAAATCAAAATGTCATCGAGATATACCAGAACAAAGCCACCAATAATGTCCCTAAAAATATCATTCATAAAGGACTGGAAGATAGCCGGAGCATTGACAAGGCTGAAGGGCATGACCTGGTATTCATAGTGCCTATGCCTAGTCATAAAGGCCGTCTTCCATTCGTCCCCCTCCCGTATCCTGATAAGGTTATAAGCCCCACGTAAATCTAATTTTGAAAAGATGGTGGCTCCACGTAAGGACTCCAAAGCCACTGGAATTAGAGGCAGAGGGTAGCGATGTTTAATCGTGATGGAGTTCAACCCCCTGCAGTCGATGCATGGGAGCAATGAGCCATCCTTCTTTTCAATAAAAAAGAAACCAGCACAGGCAGGAGAAGAGGAGGGGTGAATAAAACCTGAGTCCAGAGCTTCCTTAATGTAGTCTTGTAAGGCCCGATTCTCCTTTTGGGTTAAAGGGTAAATGCGACCCTTGGGGGGAGTGATCCTGGCAATAAATCGATGGCACAGTCGCAAGTTCGATGAGGGGGGAGCAAGAGATCCTGTTGTTTATCGAATGCCTGTTTCAGGTGAACGTACTGAGGTGGAATGGAAGGTGGAGCATCCCAGGCAATTATCTCATTCTTGGCCCAGGAGATGTGGGGGTCGTGTTTCCTGAGCCAGGGAAGGCCCAGGATCAGCGGGTAGGCAGGCGAGTCCAGGAGAAGAAATTAAATATCTTCCGTATGAGTGGCCCCAACCCTGAGAGAGAGTGGGATGGTTTGCAGGGAAACCTGAGCAGGGGTGAGTGGAGAACCATCTAGGGCTAGAATGCTGACGGGGGGTGACACAGAAACCACGGGGATATTCCAACGGTGGACAAAGGAAGCGTCTATGAATGATCCTTCTGCACCTGAATCAACAAAAATCGACAGGGGAAGGTGAGTATCAGACCATGACAATTCCGCCGGAAACAGAGTGCCCGAAGAGGCTGGGGAAAAAACAGCACTGCTAACCTTAGCTGAAGGCTGCGGTAGAGCACGAGGTGCAGACAGTGGTCTTGAAGGACAAGTAGCGAGCAGATGGTTAGGAGAACCACAGTACAGACATCGTCCCTCTCGGCGGCGCCTTTCCTTTTCTTGAGGGGAAAGAGGAGCATGTGGCAGAGCTGGCAAAGCAGGAAGTGATGCCTCGGGGGGGCCATGTCTGCTTCCAGTGGGTCTGTCTGCTTTCCGGATTCTGATGCGGGTGTCCAATTTCAGGACCTCCCGCTTCCAGGGAATGAGAGTGGATTGGCATGAATACCAAGTGTTCCTTCAACTCCTCTGACAAACCCTTACAGAAAAGGCAAACAAGCACCTCTGGGTTCCAGGCGGACTCTGTGGCAAGAGACTGAAATTCCTCCACATAATCCTGTAGAGGTCTGTCACCCTGTTGAATTGCTGAGAGCCGAAGGTGAACCAGGTCCAGATTGTTCTGCGAAAAACATGCCTGAAGACGATCCGCAAAGCTATTAAAATCCATGGGTTGCGAATCTGCTCTGGACAAAAAAACAGAAGCCCAATCCAAAGCCTTGCCTGTCAACAGTGAGATCGCAAAACCAATCTGTTCTCGCGACGTAGGAAAACGCTCTGGATGCAGATGAAAAGAGAGAAAGCATTGAGTAATGAAGCCTCTGCAACCAGAAGGATTACCGTCATATTTTTCAGGGAGAACAAACGGTAAGGTTGTGGGGGTGGTGGATGGGGCCGCGGCTTGTGCGGAAGAAACTGCAGGAGGAGCTGTTGAAGGTGCCGGGGGCACCGGGGGGGACGAAAGCCAGGCATCGTGATTGGTAAGAAGTTGGACAGACTGCTGTAACTGAGATAGAGCTTGGGAGTGCTGGTGAAGGAGGGAGCGAAGAGCTTGCGCATCCGCGGAATCCATACTGTAAGGCTCGGTATTCTGTAACGCAGCTAGGTTGTGGTGAAAAGGATCCGATGCAGATGCAGGAGACCTTGGGAGGTGAGTAGGCGGACAGAGCAAATCCAGGAGCTGAGTCGTAGTCCGAAAGCGTAAGGTACGTCAAGATCCAGTAAAGGCACTGGTGGCGAACAATCCAGAACGAGAGACAGGTTCGTGGTTGAAACAAGAGCGGCAAGGTCAATTCCGAAAATAGTCACTGGAGCGAACAATCCAAGGGGCGAGACAAGAACCGAAGTCGGAAGGAAAAAGGTGAAGTCAGAAAATCCAGTAAGGCAAAAGGGAAAGTAACCTAGGTAGAGCAACACGAAGTGAACTCAATACCGAGCAGAGATATACGGGTAAGGGAGGCTTAAATAATGCAGCCTGCCGCACGGAAGGCGTCTGATGAGAAATTAACACGTGCGGCAGCGTTTGTAATTATAACCCTGCTGCTGGAACTGATTAGACCTCTTAGGAGCTGGTCTGGGCCGGTTAGTGGTTGTGACACATAGCTCCTGTAGCTTTCTCTCAAAAAAATTCTAGTGGCTTTGTTTGCAGAGAACTGTACCTCGTTCAACAGCTTATGACTCTCCCTTGCCAAAACTTTGCCACATGCAACACCCTGTGATTAAGGTTCCATTCCTCCCTCACGTGTGAAAAAATATTTCAAATACTTGGAGTCATATTTACTACATTTTGTCTTTTTTCCTTTGTCTGTCTCTGCAGCTTTATGTTTTGCTTAGCTCTCCCAACAGTTAAAATCCACTCCATGTTTTTTTTAGCTTTTTACCCGGTAACAACTCATTCATTGCAACTTGAAAATGCAAAGGTATGTTGCGATAAAATAGCCATGGGGTGGTGCTGTTTTTCACAATTATTTTTATTGCACCTTTTTCAAAATAAACTGTAGTATTACGGTGTATAATTACTTATTTTAATACAGTATTCATGCAACTGCCATGTTAACAAACGCTGGTTAACTATTTCTCATTGAATTTGCACATTCAACACTGGTCAACCTTTGTCAGACACCATTTTATCATGCCCGAACACGTATCTCAATCATTCCCACTGAAGATACTGAAATCCCATGAACAGTGAATGGCCCGAATACCTGGTCATTGTAGCTAATTCTATGTGTGGTTAGTTAAGTTTTCTTCAGAGGTAGTTTGCTCTCCATTTGCATTATAGCTTCTTAAGTTTACCTGCTGCTGTTAGGCAGTTTCAGAATTTGAAATCAATACCTTCTCTAAACCCCTTCAAATCTAGACTCAAAACCTTCTTCTTCAGAAAAGCCTTTACTTAACTGGTTCCATTCTTCACCCCTCTGCTCTTCTTAATACCACCTTCCACGGTCTCCTCTATTGTTATTATTGTTATTGTTGTATTGTTGTAATTATAATTGTGTCCTATCTTGTGAAATCTTCTTAATTATTGTTGAAGTCTTCTTATTTATTGTTATTGTCATCCTGTAAAGCGCTTTGAGAAGCCACCTAATAATGGCAAGTTTATTATTATTATATAATATTTTCCTTATAAGAAGCTCATCTCCATAATTTCATTCTATGATAAACCTACCTTATGTAAAACATAGGGCAATATCCTGTACAATGGGTTGCTTCAAGGTACAAGAATGTTCAACTTACTATCAAATAGTATATCTACAAAAGCATTCAATTACTTTTCTAAAGGCCTTCTGAGATAACCACACAATATCTGAACTAACTCTATTTTCTGTTCAAGTTGTGTGGGCAACAACTACCTCTGGTAGCTGAAATGCTCTAGATGTTTAGTTCTCCATGCTCTTTATAATGCCCTGTCTCTCTTCAGGTAAGAGGTTTTTGAGGATTCAGACTTTTCTCCTGTACATACTGTATATAGAAATTTCCAAACTAGCTGAACTATGAACCACAACACCCTGCTTACATGTCAAAGCATCAATTATCAGTATTTTGATATATATATATATTCTTTATACCTAGTTTTAACTTATTACACAGATAAAAATGATCACACCTCATTACACAACCACATTCACTGTCCAAAAATATAAGGAAAATCAGTGAGCAAAACTGCAAAAAGAAAAAAAAACTATTTGATAACTTAATCCAAAATCACATAGCTCACATTTTTCTATAACTTAAATAATGTTGTCAAATATAATCAACTTAAATACCAAAGTTTCATTAATCCATTTTATGCAAGATACAGTAGGGTCTCAGGGGAGCTGAAGACTATTCAGGCAAGCAACAGGAACAAGCAGGACACCAGTCCATCCCAGAGCACAAGCAGACTAACATGCACACACTCACACCAAGGCAAATTTTCCCAGAATGCATTAGCATACTAGCATGTCTTTGGAGTGTGGGAGGCAACCAGAACACTTGAGGGAAAATGTGCACAAAAACAGGGTCAACATACAAACTCCAGACAGAAAGCACCCCAGGTCCAGAGTTAAACCAAGGTTCCCAGCACTGTGAGGCAGCAATTCTATTGTGCCACCATGCTGCCCCTGCCAAAGTTAATCTTTCAAAATGTTGCATATTGCAATATTTGGGAAATGCAGCAATATTATTACTGTATATAATTTAAGGACTCTGTATTAAAGATTGCTAAATCTTTTGATGTGTCAATACATTATGAACAGCATTTTCTAAAATATAATTTTGTAGTAAAACGTACATTAAAATACAATTTACAGTCTAGTGCTCCAGATACTTGTTTGATTTTCAACATTAGAAAATAAAGCACATATTTTATTTACAGACAGTAATATATTAATAAGCACATTGTTTTTTAAAGGAAACTAAAATACTCTTCATACTACATACTCTTGTTTCATACTCATTATGTGGCAATCAAAACTATAATTATTCTATGAAGTGTATAGGAACCTTCTTCTCATAAATGTGCAATGAAATCCATTAATAAAGTAACATTAAACTTGGAATAGAAAAGACTATAGATATCACAAACATGGGCTACAATAACCAAAATAAACCATTTCACACTCCATTTTCCTAGTACATAATAATTGCAAATAATTATATTAAAATTTAAGTAACCAGCAGACAAAATAATTAAACAGAAGAAATACTGTTCTGGTACTCAGAAGGTTTTCTTTTAGGGCTAGGTTTTTCTAAAACAGTGAGCTGAGTTACAGTGCTGCTCTCTGTGAACAAAGTTTTACGTTTCTGTGTAAAAGTTGAATAACCTTGGTTGTGCCACTTAGCAAGTCGCTTCTTCATTTCCGCCTGAACCTACAACAGAGCATAACGTTAAGACTATGCTGTACGTTGTAAAAAAAAATCTCTGAATTAATACTGTATATGTTTATCACTTTCATTTTTATCCTAAAAACATTTTAAAGCCTTTGCTAGTCCTGGAAAACAAGTCTGTCACATCATGTTGAGATATTGTACTGTGTTAAAAATAACTAGACAGTTATTCTGAGCAAATTCATTATTCTTGAAATGTTCCTAATCTTAATCTTAATTTTATTAGGGATGTACAGTGGTTGAGGTATCTGGCAAGGCACAGGAGTCAGGACGTCTTTAATATTTTCTTGGCCATTCAGAATAGTTGTTGAATCAATAAACTCTGTGCTCTAGTCTTAAACTTCTGATTTAGAATCTTGCATTCAAAATGTCATGACTGTATTGCTGCTAGACATGCAAACTCTGTTTATTATTTATTAAAAGAATGTATCAAAATAAAAACAATATTCAACATGAATAATTATAGAAAATAATATTTATGGAAAATATTCAATTAGTACATACCTCTCCATTCAGGAAACAGTAGAGTAAAGCCACAACAAAGCCCTAAAAAGGAAGTGAATCTATGACATTGTTCAAGCACCAAAACGTATGGTGGTAATAAGAGAACACAAAGATCTTGAAGATATCAAATGCCTCAGTTATGTGTTTCAAAGGTGTCCACTTGAAGTATTTTGAACAGAAGCTATATTGCAGACATGGAGGCTCAACAACTTGGACAACTGTTTAGTAACCAATCTGGATATATATATATATGTAAATGTGCACTGTGTGATACAATGTATACTGTTTACGCAAAACAAATGTATATACAAAACCATAAATACATCAGGACATCAATTATGCTTGCTGATTAAGGAGGAATTCAAACTGATTCAACTGATCTTAAAGTATATTAAAAGATTGCATATAACTTAATATACTGTATATCATTTTGCCAAATAATGAGGACATAGAATAATACTCAAATTACAAAATATTAATATATAGTTCATATTCAATTCTAAATCAGAACTAGATTATCTATGCCACAGTAAATATACTTACAAAAAGAACTCACCTGATACATGATAAAGCAACAGAAAATAAGTATGGTTTTATACAGCATACCTGTATATGATTACTGTTGCAAATAACTGACTTATCTGTTGAAGACCCGGAGACTAATCTAAATAGTAATACAGTAGCTATTCTACATTTGTATTGACACATTTACATTAAACATTAGGACAAAACAATGTGACTGTAAAAATATTAATTATGCTCCGATATTAAATTTAAAAAGAGTTATTTCTGTTCATTATTAATTTGTAGGAGAACCTCTGAGATGTTAGAAATCCAGTTGTAATATTTTTCTGTAAGTTAAAGGAAATATGTCTTGTGCCAACATAACTGGTTACACTCTTGTAAATTGCAATGGGGACTTTCAGAGTTTTTAAAGCTAAGACACATTGGTTTTGTTTTATGCCCCCAATTAAAAGGAAAGAGATGACATCAAACAAAAAGGCAGCTAACTTTAGTCATACACATAGTAATGTGTCAGTATTTGTGTTACCAAACACAAATGGAAAATGACATACCTGAAAAGAGCCTAATCCCAGCTCTATGTAAAGCCTTGCGTATACTCCGGTATTTTCAGGGAAGAATGCAAAGACTGTGTAGTGAACTCCAAACAGTGGAATAAGAAATAAGGTTGATTTTGCAAGCCTCCTAAAAAGAGAAAAAATATATACATCAGTATATAAAATATTAACAAACACAGGAATCATATTAACAAAAGCATATTGTATGTTATACTGCAGTATATGTATTATATATATTATATTACCAGATGTATGAAAGCAACATTGCATCATTATTGCTCCATTAAACCAAATAAAGCACAATCTAACCACAACCCTGGAGTTTTTATTCTCTTTTTTTCTGCTGTACTGTATATGTGTAACCCACAGCCCAAGGTGTATAAAGATATTTAATTTGAGACACACATACTGTAGGCTTCAGGAAAGAAAGTGCTATCTTAAATTACAGTATTAAAATAATATTTAGGCTTCTTATGCAGTGACATTGAATATTCAGAAATAAATGCCAGGCTTTATTTTTTGGAACAAACCTGTCATATTGCATTGTATAGAAATATGGATCCAAGTGCTTTAACTGAATGTGAGAAAACACCTCATAACATATCATAACATATCATAACTGAAAGTATAACAAGAAAAACAATAAAAAAAAAATTGTATCTCAGATCACCATTGCAACAATTAATCAAGCTGAAACAAGATTTTAACTAATACAATTATATTTTCAAATCAGGATCAGTGTTTCTTTCTGTCACTTTGTATATTTTAGTTTGTAATGTCACAGCAACATTTAGAAAATTACTAGTCTAGTACTAAAAATACAAATACAAAGATTGGGTTACATAGTAAAACAGCACTTATTCCCCCATTGCAAGTAATTGGTTCTTATTTTGTTATTCTTACGTGTCTTTAACTTTAGTTGTCAAATAAAACTTGCAGTAAGTAAAAACCTAAATTGGGCTTTTAACACATCCATGTATATTGTGATAAATTAACAGTGTTCAACTATTTTTAGGAAGATTTTTCATTTGAAATCAAAAGCCATTTTGCCCAGGAGGCTTCAGATACAGTAACTGTTGTTAAACAAGGCAAGGTTATGTTAATGTTTCTGATGTATAAAGAATTCAGAAACTGTAATATCAGTTTGATCCTGTGAAGGATACTAAACTATAATAAACATGCATGAAAAATTACACAATTAAAAATGTTATTCTGAAATGTTATTATTTTACAGCTCTGTTTAGTTAAAATATCATAGTTAACTCATAACTTGAATAGTCAAAGGCAACAACATTAGCTTTAAACAAATACAACTAAGGGCAGAAAAGTGGCAATGGTAAAGACATGCTGTAGATGAATTGGATTCTTGGTAAATTGCTCCTGCAAGTTTGTGTGTCTAGCTATAGACTGACATCCTATCCAAAGTGTATCCTACTTTGTGCCTAATGCTTTCCAGAAAGGCTCTGTGCCACTGTGACCCTAAATTGGATGAGCAGTTTTTGAATGTGGTGTAATGCATTCAACTAAAACATCTTTTATAACTTACATAAAATGGCTAGTGTCATTTCCTCCCACAGCTGGCACCTTTATCTTTTGCACCAGAATCCGTATCACGTTGATGAATATGACAAAGTTCACCTTCATAAAAATACATAGATTAAGAAAAATAACTATAAGTAATAATAATAATACTAATAATAATAATATTAAACTATTATACAAATCTGTGCAAAATAATCAGTCCACAATTTGTCCAGAAGACACTATCTTAAATTGATATAGTTTTTATAATTTTTAGTTCATCCTGGACAGAAAACTATAATTAGCTTTTTTTAGGTTTTATATTTGAAAATGGGGCACCTTAAATGATCAGTTATTCAAACATTAAAATATGCCCAAAGGTATAATTATTATTATTTCAGTATTAAGTAGGTGGCTGCATCAGAATGCTAGGCTGCAAAGGAACAGGTAAAGTTTTATTCCATGCTGAAAGGAAAAGAAAATGTACAAAACGTTTTAGCTATGGAACTTTCTTTTCCATTCTGTATAGAATAAACATTTACACGTACCTTTACAACAGTATATTATGTCAAATGCTGTGTATGTCAAATACTGTAAAGCAAATCCAATAACAGCAAAACTAAACCATTTATGTTCCTTCTTCTAGCACAAAAGCCAGCAAGTCTTACTGTATGCCCATTACTTTTCATATATATAAAATATACTTAATGTGTAAATCTGTTTTTTTTTGTAGTACCGATACTTTATATACTCACTAACACTGACACCAATATTGGTCCTTTGATAATCCACCAAACCGCATTATCATTATCATCCCAGCACCTAAAAAAAATGGAAATATGTTTTTCCATTGCTAAAGAAGCAATGTCACCCTTTCAGTGTGATGTTCATAGGATTCCACGAGTTTATTAAACTATTATTAAAGTCACTATTACTGTTCTTCAGAATTATAATTATAAAGAGAAAGTGTCAAACAAACTGATACACAAATTTAAAGAAACTGGTGCGAACTGGTGTTTATTCCTTATAGAATAAATATTTCTTAGTAAATTTACAAACTGTTGTAAAATTTATAAAAATATTTTGTTTATTTAATAAGTACATGAGCAATCAGTAAGTGTATCTTAAATGTCTTTGTTTCTCCTTACAGGGGTTCTTCCTTGGTTGTTTCTGGTGTCTTGGTTTCCACTCGGGGACACTGTGTGCCTAATAACGATTTTTTCTTAAAGAATGTCTTAAAGGCAACTCCCACACCTACAATACATGTAGGTGGATAGCATCACTTTAGCTTTCTTTATCTACAGTATATACTATATATGTAAATCTACTTTGATGCAAGATTCATGGTTTATAGGTCTGAAGCAAATACAATGATGCTGTTAGCAAAACACGGGCAATTTGCAATGGCTCCTTCAATTTTCAGTTCTTCGGGATTAACAATAGTCTTGTATCTTAATTCCGCCTTGGAAGCTCCTTTACGGTGAATAATTATTGATACTATTTCAGTTAATTTCATTTAAAATACATGTTAATATTTAAAGAAAGATGTTCAAAATGCACATTACAACCCCATACCGCACGCAATTACCCACAGTGCACCGCAGTGTGCCACGGTACGTGATTTGGCTGGCCAAAATGACCGACAGAGGCACTCGTGATGCATTGGTTGTTATTGAAACGATTGAATAATTTAATCTCTTTACTGGACATGTTTTAATCTGCTTAGTATTGAATATTTATTTGGAATTTTACAACTAAAGGGAAATTTTAGTAGCTAAGCATAAAAAGAAGAGGAGCATAACGCATTTGAAGGTCATAAACGATATTAATTTAGGAACATAAAACATTATGTAAACTGTATATGGCTGGTTTTGGTAGTTTAAATAAAAATACATACCAGTATTCCACTTTCTTCCTAAACATTTTAAGCATCAGAGTCTTTCATTCGGTTAGATACTGTGGTTTATTTAGAAACGTTTTTATGTGCTCCGTCTGACTATCTCAAGTTTATATATTTTGTAAAAAGTTATAATGTTTTAGCATTTTCTGTGAATATGCTCGTTATCGCAGTAAACAAAAGCATACTTTTTAGAATTTGATTAATAGGGAATATAATACGGAATCGCATATCTAAAGAAATGAATAACGATATAATTTGAAACTGCATTTTCTGGCAACAGCTCAAATGCTGTACATGAGAGGTTAAGCTTTATTAGCTCCACCTGGCGGTTTTACAAGGTGATTCCAGATACTATTATCATAACTGCGGTATGACACGTTATGACGCACCATGCCTACTGCGTTTTTACCGCAGCGTACTTCGTGAATTTTGAATGGCTACATCTGTACAGCACCAATGATTTAATTTCATAAACAAATACTACTCAACTGGATGTAACTCAAAAACATTTGGAAAATCTTTGATATACGCTAAAACCAACCAAAAGCTAAACTTCAGCAAATACTGAAAGAAACATTTCTTTAGTTACTTTACTGAGACCATCTGGGAAATTGAAAGCTCCGCCAATTGCCTTTATGTTGATACTGCAAAAAAACAGGATGAAAACTGGAAGAAATCCATGAAGCTAATATGACTAAAGTTCTGAGAATAAAAATGTTGACACTATATAGCATTATCTTCCTCTATATATATTTACAGTATAGAGAAATTTGGTCAAACCCTAATTAAGGTGGAGAAGAGGAGTGATTTGAAAAGTGAGTTTTATTGTGATAACACAACGGGCTGAGAAGAATGACAACTTGTTCATAAGGATGGGGCTGTTGGGATCCCCCTTCCCTTTTAATGAAGGATGAGATACTACAAGGCAGAAGACAGGGTGGGGGGAAGGATGTGAAAATTAATTTCAGAAGCACAAAAGCAAGAAGTGTAATATTTATATATTGGCAAGAAATAGGCATGATTAGGTTTTGACTTCCACCAAACTTTTGACTAAAATGACATTCCACTAGTTTCGTCAAACTACAATTTAGGATTTGAAAAGATGAGAACCAAATAGTGAGCTTGTTGTTTTGGTGGTAACTCACCTAGCTGAGTAGAATGACAACTGCAGCAGAGAAATGTGAGAGATTCCATGATGCTGATGCAGAATATTTGAGCTCAAATAATGAAAGTAATAAAAATAAAATCTGAATGAGAATACAGTTAGTTAACATATAAGATTGAAATTAAAATCCAGAAGAAAACGTAAATAAATTCCTACAATGACCAGAGAGAGATTTGGGGGACACTGCTTGAGAGAACCATATTTGAGTGAGGGTGAAGAACCAATAAGAACCTTGAAGCAGAATCCTAATTATGGAAGATGGTACTGTAAGCTTGTTTAAAGATTAGGATTGGATTTAATGCAAAACTTTGTAAGTTTGGAAAAGAAGGAGGTAGACATGGCAATTGTGGTTCTTCAAGGAGCATGGAAGAATGTTGTACAAATCCAGCCTAAAGTCTGGAAAGCTTTCAGTACTGAGGCCAGCTTAGTGATTCAAGGAAGTAGTACAGAAGCCAACAACAAGTCACCCACTGTTGATTTGTGAAAGCATAGTGGATAGTAAAGGATAGCTACATGAGTTGGTTATTTATGGCTCTAAATGGAACCCCAAAGCATGGCAACAATGATAAGATGATAATTATTATGAGCCCAGGCTGCCACAAAACTATTTTCACCTCTAAAGGCACTGCTGCTGCAAAGGGAGCTCAAAGGGACAGATTTGAAGAAGTGATCACTGTTTTGAAATTCTTTTTCTGTCTGTACATCATGCATGTGGAAGCAGTAAGAAATAAGGCTACAAAACACACACAATCTATTAATATAACTATAACATCATGTTTGTGAAACTGTTTCTGTGAAATAAAAAGTATAAACATGGAAGACCATATTTTCAAGAGACTTTGCTTAAAGGCACAAACATGTTCTCTTCAATAATGCCACATCAAAATAAAGCTCAAACTCTTTGATTTGTACAGCTATTGCTTATCTGTTGAAAACAAGCAGCATGCTGTCACGATTATAATCCTCCCCCTTAAGGGCGCTCTGGCTCTTTCACATTTTACTTGATTTTGTGCACCTACCTTCTATCCAGCCCCACTTAAAAGCCAGACGCTCACTCTGTTCTGGGCTTTGCATTGGAAGACGGATGCCCAGAGGCCCACCTACCACCAAGTTGCCCTACGCCCATGCCTCCTATCGGCATCCTGACCTAGCTGAGTCCGGGGTTTAGAGCGCCTTGCCTCATCACCCCTATTTTTATTCCCTCTCCCTGCACCGGATACTGTTCAGGTTTTTAACTTAATCTTGTCGTCATCTCTCTTGAATTTCACCACGCCCCCCTGAGCACCAGTGCACCGTCATCACGCCCCTCTGCTCGTTAACCTGCCCAGTTGCCTGTCATCTCCCTGTGTTTATTGCACTCCCTTCCGGATTCTACTGTCTGCAAAGGACCTGAAAAATGCTTCTTAACACAAGCTTTATCCAAGCATTTGATGTAGTTGATATTCAACTTTAATGATAATTAGAAACGGTTTATATATTTTTTACATATTGTTAGTAAAGCTAATTCTCAGCAGATTAATAATGTCGATGTGCCTTATGGTACTACTGCAAGAATAACCCAAACTTTTGACCACATGTAAAATTACACACTTTTGACAACATGTGAAATGTGTTCTACAACAAAATCACAACGGTTAAAAGTCCGTTTTAAGACTCATAGAGCAGCTGTGATGACCAGTAAATTGTCAGGGGTTAGCACCCTTTAAAGCAACACAAAACTGAATCCCCAGGCAACATCGGTGCATAGTATAGCACATTATATAGCAAATACCTCTTTAGGAGCCACTACAAAAGTAACTCTAAGTGGTAAAGAGTCAATGATGTGCCCAACAAGTTCAAGTATTCTACTTGTTGTCATGAAAGAATGATAATTTGAATTTTTGATTGACAGGACTTTAAAAAGGCTCTTTGCTGCCACATAGAAAATAGAAACAAAATAGCCCGATCTTATGCTGCAGTTTCATGAAGGTGAATGAACCAATGTAGCAGCAGGGGGCTTACATTAACAAATCGTTACCTACACTTTTGAAGCTTTACATGTTTATTGATGTGATGTTATAGAAAGACTCACATTAGGAATGGAGAAAATACTGTTAATCTCCAGTGAATGTGAATCTTTCAGTTAAGACAGATTTAGAGTTGTTCTCTTATTTACTAACCACTAGCAATGAGAGAGGCTGATTCTGAGTGAGAAATTACAGATTAGCCATTCAAGAGAACTGCAAACTTTCATTCTGCAGTCAGTCAAGCATTCACAACTACAGTACAAAGACACCAGAGTGGAATAGCTATTGTATCTCATTTGTGAAACACACAGATTTAGAATTACATTCACAAAGTTCAGCTGTCTGACATAAGCACACACAAAGCAAATACATTTTTCTCTTGATCTGAAACTTAACTTTTTAACTACATCCATGCAAATTAAATCTTCACTGGTACTGCAGAAAGGCCCAAATATTGACATCAATGTGTTGTATGTGAGGCAAGACATTTCTTGAATGAAAGCAGTTCCATTGTGTTACTACTGGATTGGGTAGAAGGCAAGGTTTTTCCTTTGCAAGTACACACGGAACTACTGTAAGTTCTGTGTGTGAGCAAAGCAATAGATACTTGTTTCACAGCTACACAACAGCTAACATCTTGTACAAAACAACCACAGTGATTCAGCTGAAGATTACCTAGTATAATGCTGTGTGTTGTGTTGCCTGGAAATTCAAAACTTCCAGAATGACAGTCTAGCAGAAGCACATCCATTTTAAATGCATGGTTACAATCCAGTTAATTTAAAACAAGAAAATTAACCAGAAGAAGTTTAAGTTTTTACTTCATATCAGTGATATATTTTTCAAATACTATACGTTTTGCAATTGAGAAGCAGTAGACATAGTTTTAATGGTTTTCAAATTAAATTACAAATACTGGGGAATGACACTGTGAAGAGTTTTCATGTGAATGTTTTCTGCACAGAAAGCAGTAAGCCATAAAAATACAGTATTCTAGGTCATTTAATCCATTTTGGTATGACATATCTCTGACATCTGCTGCCGCCATCTGCTGATATTTAAATGTGTATCACAGCATGTTTGACATAGGTAGTACATTGGCATATTACACAAAGAGTAAATAAATTAGCCTCCGCTTTCAAGAAATGTATTTTTGGGAATTTATGCACATCATACTTTTCTTCTGGTATTTGCTACTTTACTAAGTTTGTCAGTGTTAATACCAAGGGTTGTAATGGTACTCACAAAGTTCAAAACCCATAGGTTCTGCATTCAGAATTGTGACTTTGACTAAATCATAACTTAAATCTGATTGAAAAAAATGTACTTACCCTCTGTTATCGTAATATATCCTAGTGAGGACCCATACAGTTAACACTGTAGTTGGAAAGCCTAAAATACATGGATTGATACAATTAAAATTACACTTCATAGCACCCACCTTAAGAAAATACACTTTTATTAAAAACCATATTGGTTATCAGACAACTTCCACATTTGCACAACACATATTTCAACATATATTAAATTTTCACTCAGATTAACCTCTTAGCATAATATTTTAGGAATAACTCTGCCTATGTATACAGTGTAGAATATTCTAAGCATCTTAACATTTCCTTCGCTAAGCAACATACAGTACATATACTGTACCACAAATCATGTAAATAAAATATTCCACCAAAAAAGTACATTTTTCAACAGTTTTTTCTATGTTTTTTTATTTTAGAAAAAGCTTCTTCTAAATTAACCAGTTAATTAATAAAAATACTAAATATGTTTACTGTCTGTATTACAGTAATTATATTTACTGTAATTATTACATATAATGCAATAATTTAAATGTAAAATTTTCTCAGAGTTTGATTAGCTTTTAAACCAGTTATTTTCATTGAATATCTATTCAATGAATTTAATGATAATTACACTTGTTTAGGATTTTGTAATACAGTACTATATGAATTCCAATCCTTAAGTTTTAAGTTAATGTTTTCCTTTTCTGAAAAAAAAGATAACTAATTTCTTTATGTACTGTAGAAAAGAGAATAAAAAGCTTTGCACTCACCCCATCCTATTAATATGTACCACCAGAAATATTTTTTCTGTGAAACAAAAGTGAGAGCAAGAAGTGTCTGCAGATACATGCCTTCTACCAGCAGCCAAAAGAAATTTGCCAGTATGCTGAACTGAAAGAACCCAACAGCAGACTTACAAGAGATCTGAAAAAAAAACACAGCGTTTACTGTGAGGTTACTTGTATCATTTTTTAATTAACTGGATACTGACAGGTATTCAGGTATTCATTTTTTTATGAATACAGGTATTCATTTTTTTAATTGTAAATAATAGCAGTATAATTATCACAATATTGATATAGAAAAACCACTGTCCTTACGTTTTCTCAGAAGCCAATTAGGTAAGATTATGATATTTCAGAGGCTATGTATTGTACAGATGCAGCCACTCAAAGTGCGCGGTACAGACACGTACCGGAGGTAATTGGCTACGGCGTCGCGCATCGTGACGCGCGGTACTGCGGTACGTGATTGATTGACCGACAGGGGCACTCGTGGTCTGTTGGTCGGACGTAGAAAGATTTACAGTAAATATCTTTACTGTGCCCGTTTTAGCATTGAATATTTATATGGAATTTTACCACTGAAGGGAAATCTTAGTACCTGAGCATAAAAAGAATAGGAGCATACTGTAACGCATGTGAAGGCCATAAACTATATTAATTTTGGAACATAAACATACAGTATATGGCTGGTCTTGGTACTTTAAATAAAAAATACACACCAGTATTCCATTTCTCCCTAAACATTTTAAGCTTCGAAGTCTTTAAGTAATGTGATACCATAGTCAGCAAGCATACTTTTAGAATTTGATTAAAAGGGAATATAATATGGAATTGCGTATCTAAAGAAATTAATAATGATATAATTATATTCATGTACCGCAACACAAGAATAGTACACGCTGTACATCGTCTGTTGATAATGTTTCTGTAGTGCATTTTCAGCACCCTGCATGTGACCTCTCCGGTGGCGGTGTGGGTTAGGTTCCAGACTCCCACCTCACACCCTGTGTGTTAGAATCCCCCTGCAATCATGACTTTTTTTTTAACAAACATTTCTTTGAAAAAATAAAATGTTTCCCTGGGTCAGAGATTAAATAAAACCTCACTCGCATCAAACAAATTTATATTTCTAAATATCACAACATGATCGAATTTAAGTCATTTTAATAACAATGAATAGTCACCTATGCGTTACAATATAAACATTTATATTGATTTAAATTGCGTTTTGATTTAAATCGCAAACGCGGGTTTAAATATATGTGTTTTTTGATTCACAGTCAGACAAATGCAACATAAATTGATATCTTTGTCTTCTAAGAATCTCAATAAACTTTCAGCATAGCTTTCTGCCCGTTTAGATTTATTTTTCTTGGGATCTTGGGATCAAACGTGGAAAGATTAGATTGTAATCGTTTAAGAAAAGTGTAATCTATACAAAAAGCTGTACACCACCTGCTATAAAGATACATACTGTAATACTTTCGGGCTCGGATAGGACAGACACAAGAACTCAAACTAAGTACCGATTCCTGGAATCTGACTGGCTGATACCCTACTGAAGTGGTTCCATAATATCTGGTATACGGAAAAGAAAGCGTTGGCAAAAAAGCCTGGAGTCTCATGTGTCTCATACAAGTATCTTTTAATACAGTCTTTGCTGTG